AAGCTCCATGAGGTGAAGATAATATCACATTCACCTCTATTCCCCCTCAGGGACCAGAATATGCAGATTTTAAATAAACACTGGTTGAATAAAAGAAGAAATAAATGGATTGAGAGACTAATTAACTAAGCAAAAAAGGTAGGAAGTTCTTTTTTATATATAATTTTTTTTTCTTAAAGATTTTAATTATTTGATACAGAGAGAGAGCACAAGCAGGGGGAGAGGCAGACAGATGGAGAGGGAGCAGCAGGCTCCCTGCTGACTTGGGAGACCAATGTGGGGCTCGATCCCAGGATCCTGGGATCATGACCTGAGCTAAAGGCAGCCACTTAACCGACTGAGCCACCCAGGTGCCCCAAAAGGTAGGAAGTTCTACATAACAAGAAGTCAAGAACTCTGTGTTCTAGTTTTTCCTCATTATAGGTTATTTTAGTATTATTTTAAAATATTTATTTAAATAACCTTGATATCTAATATGGGGCTTGAACTCATGACCCAGGGAACAAGAATTGCATGCTTTTCCAACCAAGCCAATCATACATCCTCCCTTTTTTCTTAAATATTTATTTTAGTATTATTTTTTTAACACAAACTTCCTTCAATTTATATACAGTAATTTTTTTGGTGTACAGTTCTTAAGTTTTACCAGATATATGGATTTATGTGACCATCACAGTCAGGATGCCAAATATTTATATCACCCTGAAAAATCCCCTCATGCTGCTTTCTTGGGAAATACTCCTTTCACCAGGGAAGCCAATGATCTATTTCTCCATCACTACAGTTTTGCCTTTTCCATATGATCATATAAATGAAATTACACAGTATGTAAGCTTTTGAGACTGGCATATTTCACTCAGTATAATGCCTTTGAAATTCATCTATTTTCTTTTACAGATGTATGACAGCTTGCCTATCCAGCCACCCATTCAAGGATATTTAAGGATGTTTAGATTGTTCCAGTTTTGGGTGATTATTAAGTCTGCTACAGACTTGTGTGTACAGGTTTTTGTGTGATTATAACATTTCCCTAGGGTAAATACACAGGAGTGAGATTGCTGAATCATAAGGTTTGTGTAACTTTATAAGAAATTGCCAAAATGTTTTGCCAGAGTGACTGTTCTATTTTGTATCCCCACCAGGAATATATAAGAGCTCTAAGAGCTCTCCATCCTTACCAGCACTTGATATTACCAGTCTTGTTATTTTAGCAGTTCCAATAGGTATGTAATGATATCTCACTATGGTTTTAATTTCCTTTTCCCTAACATCTAATGAAGTTGAACATCATTTCATGTGCTTATTTGTCATTCTTGGATCCTCTTTGGTAAGTGGTCTCTTCAAACTTTTGCCTATTTTTTAAAAAATTGGTTGTTTCCTATTGCTGTTTTAAAAGTCCCTTATACATTCCAAGACAAGTCCCTTGTTAAATATGTAATCTGCAAATATTTTCTCCAAATGTCTTCACTGTGTCTTCAGCAGAGCAAATGTTTTTTAATTTGGATGAAGTCCATTTATCAATTCTTTATTTTGTCAACTTTGCTCTTGATGCCAATGCACGGCTGTGAAGATTTTCTCCTACATTTTTTATGTTTCATAATTTTATATTTTATATTTAGAAATATCTATTTTTTAGTTAAATTTGTATAAGTTCTGAATCACAGGTTGAAGTTCACTTTTCCCCCATATGACTGTCCAATTTTTTTCAATACCATTTGTTAAAAATTACATCCTTTCTGGGGCGCCTGGGTGGCTCAGTGGGTTAAGCCTCTGCCTTTGACTCGGGTCATGATCTCAGAGTCCTGGGATCGAGTCCCACATCGGGCTCTGCTCTGTGGAGAGCCTGCTTCCTCCTCTCTCTCTCTGCCTGCCTCTCTGATTACTTGTGATCTGTCAACTAAATAAATAAATTCTTAAAAAAAAAAATTACATCCTTTCTCCACTGAATTTGTTGTCTCCTGCCACTTTGCTCAACCTACTTATTAGTTTTAGGAGTTTTTTATTTTTGTAGATTTCTTGGGATATTCTACATAGAAAATTATGTCAATGAGGATAAGAAGAGTTTTAATTTTTCCTTTGCAATCTATATGAAGTGCATTTGCATTTCATTTTTCTTTATTGCACAGGCTAGGACTTTTGGCATGATGTTGAATATGTGTGGTAAGACTAAATAAACATCCTTCCTTCTTCCTTTTCTTATATGGAAAGCATACGGTATATCATCATTAAATATGATGTTAATTGTAGGTCTTTGGTAGACATCTTTTGTTGGAGGTTCCCTTCTATTTCTAGTGTATTAAGAAATTGTGTGTTTTAGTTTTTATTCTGTCACTGCTAGCTGCATGAATTTGGGCAAATCTTAGTTCAGACTACCACATCCGAAAAAAAGGAGGAAGTAAAATACATGCCATGCCTTTTTGTGATGATTAAAAGATGAAGACGTGTGTGTATGTGTGGGTTTATAAGTAAGAAAGCTCTCACCACGTATCACCAACGAAAGGCATCATGTATTTCATTAGGATATGTAAAATACAGTGTCTCCAGGTTAATGCAGTCTTCTTATAGGCATCTCTAAATAAACGTGAGTTAGAGCCAACTCACAAAGTTTAGAGAAGATTAACTATTGAAAAACTGGTTTTAAAAAAACCTAGAAAATGGAACATAACTAATATATACTATAACTTAAGTGTGGCACATGACTTTTATCCCCGTTTTAGTTCTGTCTGCTTTCTTTGATTCTTGACAATAGGCCAGAAACTATTCTATGTGTTTTACATTTTTAATCTCATAAAATTTTGCAGCAGTCCTGCACCACAGGCCTTATCCAAATTTGGATCAGAATTCTTAAATTTTCAGAAAATAGGTTTAAGCTTAATGTAAGAAATTAGCTTAATAAAACAAAACATGGGAGCTGTCCAGCAGCAGAAAAGGATGTGTCTAATTAAGGCTGAAGCCAGGGAACCTGAGGACAGACTGTCAAAAGTTTTCAGGGAAGGGATTCCTACACTAGGTAGGAGGTCAGACAATCCTATCAAGTATTACCAACTCTAAAATACTATAGCCAGCACAGATCACATATAAGGCATAAACAAGTTTGACATGGGAAGCAATGCCAAGGCAGAAATCATACCGAAAACTGGCCAGTGGGTCATCTGAGAGCTACTATCCGCTCTCCTGCTGCTGTCCTGGCTTGTTCCTTGATACCCTTACATCTCACTCTTCCCCCAGTTTCTCTCTCAGCAGTAAGAGTCAGATCATATCATTTTGGGCCCAAGTTTTACCACCCTTATGATCAGTGAATTTGAATATGTGGTATTATTTTCCTAAGTCTTTTTTTTTTAAGATTTATGTATTTATTTGAGAGAGAGAGAGAGAGAGAGAGAACGTGCACACAAGTGGGAGGGGCAGAGGGAGAAGGAGTGAGAGAATCTCAAGCAGACTGTAGGCTGAGTGCAGAGCCCGATGTGGGGCTTGATCTCATGTCCCTGAGATCAAGGCCTGAGGCAAAACTAAGATCAGACACCTAACTGACTAAACCAGCCAGGTGCCCCTATTTTCCTAAGCCTTAAATAGCTCTTCTGTTAAAAAAAAAAAAAATCTATTTTTAAGAGTGTGGAACACCCCTCATTCTTGCCTGCTTCAGAGACTTGCATTTATTCAAGAACCAAATAAGACCAATTAAAACACTTGCGTGCGCACATGCGCGCACATGTACACACACACAGAGTGAGTACAGAAAAAGACAAAAATCAAGTACTCAGCAGAATGTCAGACATACAGTAACAAATGTGACTATCTTCTAAGTCTTTTAGAAATAAAAACAGAGCAAATGAAATATTCCCCAAAATGCATGTTTCTGGCAGGTACCTGTGTTTGGTATCAAAAACAGTAGATTTCTCATGGACAAAGCACATGTAGTTTTACTTAAAGTATTCTGAAGGATCCCCAACACCCACAGCCAAGTCAAAATGGAACTCCCTAACATCTTTACATTTTATAATTTCTATAACATCCTCCACTTGGTCAGCCTATAACTCTGAGGTGGGAAGGGCAAGGCTGAGTATTCTCAAACAATCGAGGGATTTAGCACAGAGATCGGAGGGAGTTCCCCAGACCTCATGTATAGTGAGTGACAGAACCCAAGACCCCAACTCCCAAGCAGAGGCCTGTTCTGCTGCATTCCTCCATCACTACTATTTCTATAGATTATTTGGCTCTATTGTTAACCTATGTTAATTATATTTTTATCTATTTCATATAGATCATATATTTTCACATATATCATGTATGTTTAAATTGACTTTAAGCTGATTTTTCCTGGGTAGGGAAGAGCCTTATAATAATATGAGCAACTCTGGGAAGAATAAAATGCTTAAAGCAGTGCAAAATGATATACTATCAGTAAAATTCAGTGTCAGATGTACACAGGTACATAATGTACAAAGGGGTCATGGGTTCAAGATCCTGGGATTCTACTGCTTGTCTGTAGGGACAATATAGGTTTGCTCACTACGGTATTTCCAGGGCCTAGAACAATGCCTGGCACACAGTAGTCTGTCCATACGTATTTGTGGAATGAATGAATAAACAGTTTGGAAAAAAATTTCCCAGTGACTTTTTCTGGTAAGCTCGACTATACGAAGGGTTCATTTTTAAAGCCAGCAGCCCCTGCAATTCGTTTTGTGAATGCAAAGTACCATGATGAGCTATGGACACTCCTATCCGAATTACACTGAAGATGCCAGGAAATTACTAACAGGAGCCTCAAAATTCATCACATTAACTCACATCCCCAGAAAATTCATTCCTGAGGGTTTATTTCAATGAAACGTCTCCCTCAGGACCAGAGGCCTCTCCCCCTACTCTGGGAAATAGGATGGATCTGGCAGTAATGGAGCTCAGGGCTTTTCATCTTCTCAAGCCATTAAAATGCAAATTGGGGCAGGAGAGAGACCTGCACACAGCTCTCCCCTGGCCTCACCCACAGCCTCAGCACTCACATCCATCGGTGGTCCGCACCTCCATGTGCACCAGGTCCGCTTCCTTATCCAATCCAGCCACCGACCTGGGGAAGGAAGGAGACACAGAAGCTCAGTGACCACATGGATGGCAGATGGCAAAAGCGGGAAAGCATTCAGGGCTGACTATTACTCAGAAAGCCACTTTCTCCAGAGGGGACCCACAGCGTATGGCCACTGGTGAGCCTGGCAGATACAGCTGTCACCTGTAATGCTCACAACTCAGGAGCCCTGGAATGGTGTCAGGGAGTTGGTGACTCTCTAAAAAAATAAACATGAAAGAGGACAGAGTCCATAGTAATATAGGACCAAACCTCTGGCCTTGCCTCTTCTTCACCACCTGGCACTTAAGAAGTTCTCTCTTCCCACCATCTTCCTTTTCCCCCCAACTCCCACCGCCCACATCCTCCCTCCCCCAGGTCTTGCTGCACCTGACTCCTTCCAGTACACTGCCCCGCTCTGTCCTCCTGCTGGGAGTGTGCTATTGCCCACCCTGTCCTGTCCTCTGGGGAGGGTGGTTTAGACTCCACTCCCGGCTGTTTGCCTCAGGGCACTGTTGTCCTCCTGAGTTCAATGCTGTCTCCCCTTCCTTCCTCCTGCCCCAGCAACAATGAATGTATGGTAACATTTAAAATCTGATCTGACAAGAACAAAAATCTCCTAGGGATGAGGGTGGGAAAGCTTAAGGTCTATGGCTAATAGCCAAAAGAAGACAGGCTGAGAATCCTTACAAACTAATTCTTGTGGGCCTCTGACCTTGCACACATAAAGCCCAGTCAGCCATCCCCCATGTGAGATATCCAGGCCAGAGGATGACCCAAAAAGTCAGCTAAAAGAGGCAACATAGACCTTAAAACATTCATGCACTAGAGAGATCACATAATCCACTCTCTTAGCAAGCTTTTACAATCTATTTACTCTTATTTTAAATATTCTAAGATGGGCTTTCTTATTTTCCTATCTTCAGGAGGTAAGAAGTGGCGAGTCAGAAAGAAAAGTAGAATTTAAACAGTGAGAACCAACTGCGGATACCCATACAGCAAGAACATAGAAAAACCTATGAAAAACAGACCTAAGAACTCAAAACCCAATCTTTCACCCCATAAATCTCTATACTTCTCATTGGCACTGAGGCCATTACTATATTAGAGCAGAGTTCAGTATCTGACACCTGTGCTGAGGGGGGAAAGGCACAGAAAACAGGAAGCAGGGGGAAAATGGGATCCCCCATCAAATTGGGTAGAAAAAGCTTAGACACCTCTCACTATGAATAATAACCCCCCATGCACTGTCCACCATAGTGTCACACAACCAGGAGGGAACATCCAACTCCCAGCTTCTCACCCATGAGCAAAGGGTTTGGTCTCCACATCAGCAACACAACTTTAAAGGCTTGCACCAGAGGGAAGGGTTCTCAAAACACCTAGCTCTGAAAGCCAATGGGGCTTAAGCCCACTAGAGGATAGCAAACAAAATAAGCAATTTATCATGGGTGCACAAGCATTCACTGCAACGATGCCTAGAACTCAGTGCGCTTTCTCCTCATCTTTCCCTGGAAGTACTTTATCTGCATTCTTTAAAAGCTGTTACCTAAGGGCTAGGCTTCTAATTTAGCAGGCTTCAAGGGGCTGACTGTGATCCTACCGAGAGACCTAAGAAGCCCACTGACACCTTTCTCGTCTTCTCTCTGTAGCCCACTCCAAGTTGCCAGTAGCTCTCTGGAAGGAGTTGTGCACTTGACCACACCCCAGATTTTAGGGCTGCTCCCCAGAGAATGGGTCCCCGGATCGTTGGGCTCTGATAGCCAACAGGGCTTCACTCATGAGTCCCAGAGGACTGCAGCAAACAAAGAAGCAGTTCTTAACCATCTACTTCCCCAAGGTTCGGTGCAGAGGCAACAAGCTAAGAACACCCATCTCCCAGTCATCCCCTGAAAGGGGTTTATCTGCATACATTAAAGTCACCACCTGAGGGCCCAGCTTCTAAATTAGCAGATACCTGGGGGCTATTGGTAATCCTCCTTACACACTGGGGAAGCTAGCAGACCCTTCTCCCACCAGCCTGCTCCAATAATACAATCAATTCAGCAGTATCCCCCTGAAAGGAAGTTATACACATATCTGGCACCCCAGCTCTTGCTGCGAACACTTGAGGGATGGGCCCCTGGATCACCTGGTGCTAGCAGTCAATGGGCCTTGCATTAATGAGACGCGAGCAAGACTGCAGCAAGCAAAGAAACAGTTCTTAATGGGCACAAGAGCACCCCCAGCACCTGGAGGCTACCTGCCTGGGCCCAGCTTGGAGGGAGATGGCCAAAAAGTTTCTCCCTGAAAGCTTAACTATATTTTCCTAGCTTGTATCTGAGGATGCAGCTTCTCAGCTTGTCTCTAGATGCCGACTGCAATCCTCACGGACAGGTCTTGGGACATTCATAACTACTAAATGCCACTAAGAACAAAGAAGGACACCTGGACAATCACAGAGCTGAGAGACAGCTAAGAATTCAGTCAGGCTGGTCTGTGAGGTTCTTCTCCTACATGAGATCACTCTGTCAAGACTGGAAGAGGTGTTTTGTTTTGTTTTGTTTTTAATTTTTAAAGATTATTTATTTATTTATTTGACACAGAGAGAGAGAGAGATCACAAGTAGGCAGACAGGCAAGCAGAGAGAGAGAGAGGGAAGCAGGTTCCCCGCCGAGCGGAGATCCCAATGCAGGGCTAGATCCCAGGACCCTGAGATCATGACCTGAGCCAAAGGCAGAAGCTTTAACCCACTGAGCCACCCAGGCGCCCCTGGAAGAGGTGGTTATTTATAAAATGCTCAGAAACCAACACAAAGAGTCAAGAAAAGTGGAAAACAAACAAAACAACACAGAAAAGAATAGGTTCCAAACAAAAGAACAACATAGATCTCTAGGAAATGAACTTAAAGAAATGGAGGTAATAATCTACCTGATAGAGAGTTCAAAATAATGGTCATAAAGATGCTTTACTGAGGTCAGAAGAGCAATGCATGAGAACAATGAGAATTTCAACAGAGATAGAAATATTAAAAAGTACTGAAGACAAATCATGGATCTGAAGAGTATAATAATTGAAATGAAAAATTCAATACAGGGGTTCAATAACAGATTTGATCGCGTGGGAGAAAGAATCAGTGAACTCTAGGATGGAAGTGGAATTCCTCCAGAGGAGTGAAAAAGAAAAAAGAATTAAAAAAAAAAAAAAGTAAAGATATTTTAAGGGATTTATGGGAAAACATCAAGTGGACTAATATTCTCATTGTAAGGGTCTCAGAAGGAGAGAGAAAGGGACATTGAAGAAATAATGGCTGAAAACTTCCCTAAGCTGGGGAAGGTAACAAACATCCAGACCCAGCAAGCCCAGAGAGGTCCAGAAAAGAGGAGTCCAAAGAGAACCACATAAGACACACTATATTAAATTATCAAAAGTTAAATATGAGTAGAACATCTTATAAACAGTAAAAGAAAAAACACTTCTTATATACAACAAAATCCCCATAAGATTATCGGCAGATTTTTCAACAGCAACTTAACATGTCAGAAGGGTATGGGATGACATAGGCAAGTACTAAACAAAGAAACAAAACCCCTGCTAATCAAATGAGAATACTCTACCCAGCAAAACCGAGCTTCAGAATAGATAGAGCTTTCTAGACAAACAAAAGCAAAAGGAGGTCATCGCAGAGATCAGTCTTAAAAGAAATGTTACAGGAAGTTGTTCAAGCTGAAACAAACGGATGCTAATTAGTAACAGGAAAACATTTTTTTAAAAAGTATAAAACTCACTAGTAAATGCAAATATGTAGTCAATTCAGAATAATGTTGTAATGGTGATAGATAAATCACTGATAAGCCTAGTATAAATGGCAAAAGAAAAAAATATTAAATTAACCATAATTAATTTTTTAATGGATATACATGGAAAAAGACCCAAACTGTGACATAGAAACATAAAATGTGGAGCTGGGGGATTCACACAAACCGAGAAATGCACTGAGAGATAGAAGGCTGGCAGCTAGATGCATCAAAAGGTATTTCAATCTGAATCCATTTGTGCAATGGTTCATTTTGTGTGTCAGTTGGACTGGGCCATGAGATGCCCAGATACCTGGCAAAACATTATTATAGATGTGTCTTCTAGGATGTTTCTGGAAAAATTAACATCTGAATTAGTAGACTGAGTAAAACAGATTGCCCTTCCCATATGGGTGGGCCTCCTGCAATCTATTAGAGGCCTAAATGGCACAAAAGGAATAAGGAGAATTCACTAACTCTACCTAATACCTTCTGGCTGGGAAACTGGTGTTCTCCTGCACTCATATAGGAATTTCTATAACTGATGCTCCTAATTCTTAGGCCTTTGGACTCATACTGGAACTATACCACTATCTGTGAATCTCCACTTGCAGATGGCAAACGTGGGCCTTTTCAGCCTCCATTATCAGATAAGCCAATTCCTTCTAATCTCTCTCTCTCTCCCAGGCTTCTCCCCCACCCTCCTATTGGTCTGATTGCATATACTATTATCTCTTCCATATCCTACTGGTCTGTTTCTCTGGAAAGCCCTGACTAATAAAATTTGTTTCTTAGTCCCATTCCAACAATACAGCCCATTTTCCCATGTAAGCCCATAGCATAGCTGTGTGTGTTTCTGTATTTACTTAAGTCATGAATTACAAAGAATTTGATTCTTATTAATACACAACCTATCAGACAGTGAGTTTCCTAAAAATAGAGACTCTATTTATCTTTGTCTAATACTTACTACCACACACAGCTCAAGATTAGGGGTACCTTCAGATTAAATGATAAGGATAAGAAATTCATACTTCAAAGCTGCTCTGTATCTGAATCCACAGGAGAAGAGATTAAGTGGCTCAGCTGAAGAGAGGTGGAGGAGAGGACCTTGGGTACTGTCAGTAAGAATCCTCTTGCCCTTTTCCAGCAATAGAGGAAGGCCACTGCCTACTTTCAGCCATACTGCTGGCATTAGCCTGGGGTTTTTCAATACTGACACTGTTGATA